ACGTACAGGGAGATGTTTGAGGCATGGAATAGAGAGGAAAGGACGGTAGCTGTAGTGGGGCATAGGAGGTGGGTTGAAAAGGCGGGAAGGGATATCGTTAGGATAGACAAGACTAGGGAAGACATTTTTAAGCGAACTTTGGCAAAGTAGAGAGGACCGATTGACCATCGGTGATCGGTCCTGTGGGAACAATGCTCCGTCCTCTCGAGGACGCGTGGTCAATGGTCTAACCGCTAAGGCATGCAAAACATAAGAGTGCGCCCCCCCCACCCCAGTGTTTGCCATCGGGATTGGGTTTTCGTCGCTAGGCAACGACGTTGTAAAACAAGCCAATTCACTTCGTGAACTCGGCAACCAGGTTACCGTTTTTTTTTTTTTTTCCTCTGTTTTTTATTTGGCGGTAACCATAATGGTGGTCGAGTAGATCATGTTGTGCGGGGTCGAGAGCCCTCACTCCGCGCAAGGGGGATGATCGCACCACGTTGTGTTAAAATGGTCAAGCACCCTCGAGGCAGTTACACAGTGCTTACAACTGTCTCTGGAAGTGAAAGCACCAGAAAATAAATTAATTCATACGCAGCTGTCATCCGTACGCAAGGAAGTAAGCACAAGATGCCGAACACCCTTAGCAGGATGCAGCGCACCCTTCATGCGACTCGCCGAATATCTCACGGCGCTTCGCGCTTGGTGATGTGAGAGCCTGGTCCGGTGAGAACCCGGCGTGCTCCGTCCCGGCTTTGTAGGGATGCGAGGTCAATGGTCTAACGACTACAGCATGCGACACCATGAGTACACCCCCCCCAACGCTGCACCATTGCACCAACCCCCCACTAGTGATGACGTACCTATACAATGTATCGCTGGTTGGTGGCCATGTTTGCGTATTTGCTTGTTCGTTAGTGGTCTCTCCACCGTATGCCTTTTTCTGTCTCTTATTTCTTGTTATTTTCGGCCTGGTCCCTTTTCGTCCTCGCTCTTTTTCATTTTAATTACTCCTTCCTCCCTGTTACCTTTTTTTTCTTCTCTTTTTCTCTGCTTTTTTTTTCTATCTTTTTCTGTGCCAGATGGCCTCGTCTCTGCTTGCGTTGTGAAGTACCAAGATTGAACCAAGGGGGTGCACCTCTTGCTCTCCGGCCCGTGGTGATGACTCCAAGTCTCAGTCAGTTGATACCTCGCATAACGCGCAGAGGGAGTGCAGGACTCTAGAATATCTGTCGTTGATTTCTATTGACTTGCGGACCCTTCGGGGCCACTTTATGTGAGTGTACCTTGTTAGGGTAGGCTAGCCTGCGACCACGGGAATCGACCGCGTCGAGTGTTGGATCGGTACGGACATACGAACGTACTGGGCAAAAAGAGATCGGAAGGGTTTTTAATGTGAAGACAGCAACAACTAAAAACTCTGTATGATGCCTACAAACTAGTACCTGTATTCTCGGCGGTGGTGACTAAGAAATTGAGAGCCCTGACCCCGTTTTGTTGCGTACCCAACCGAAAATAAAAAACACCCACAACCTAAACACACACAAACAGATAGACTAGATCTCATGATGATCTTTCTCGTGGACAGCAGCTTCTAGAACGCGCCGCGGTACGCTACAACATGAATGTGTTCATAAGTAAATGGATGTTCTTATTTGCGGGCCCCAAGTGTTACGTGCGCATACACTCCCCCATATGCACAACACATGTACTGGTACGCTGTATGCAGGTGCTTGTCTTCTGTGGGATCGCTAGATATCGCACGAGCAGGATCAGTTTCTTGAAATGTTGTGTACCTAATTTACACCCGTTTGAGAGAAACGTCCCACTGGAAAGGAGAATTACCGTACGTACGATTAATACGTTAGAGACATGTCCCGCTGGAAGGGGGAAGTTGTTGGCCAAGTCATTTAACACAACAACATGGAGTGGGGGAAGAAAACAACCTCTGGTGGATCCTCACCCTTGTTGTTGACGGGCAAGCTCGAGGAACAAAAAAAACGTCTCTTGCTACAGATTGATGATATGCTCAACATGCCGTCGCCCGTGTTGCCGTGCCCGCAGCAGTTGCATTCAAAAGAAAAAATGAATATTGCATGCCACTTCCTTTCTGCCAAACGCTCCACCTCGCCTTTAAGGGCATTGAAAAGAACGTCACGACTTCCCTTCCATGCCCAACAGCAGCCTTGCCTTGCTTCGCAAACTTCGCAACATAGGATAATCACAGCCATGTCATACAGCAGCATCGTGCAACCGAACCCCACGCACTTGACGTCTAAGTGAGAACGTAATCAACACGCCAACACTGAGGTGTCATTTTATTGGCTGGCTTCACGACTTCCTCGAGCAAGGCTTGATGGTGATGAGGCGACGCGCTCTCCTGGCTGCGGCTGTTGTGTTAGAGCAGCTCTCCCACCCGTCAACAAAGGCGAGCGCTACACTTCCGTTCACAAACCCAAAAGCTTGTCCCGTGTCCTGCCCAGAGCACACGGGATGAACTAGAAGCATCACAAGTAAGGTGGAACACGACAACCGTCCAGCAAGCGGAGGGCAACCCTCAATCAATCCTCTGTCTCACCTAGCAGGGCCCGCTGCGAATCCATCTGACTCGGCTTGCTGTCCCGCCATTTGCCCATGATGTGTCTTTCGTGAATCAACAAAAGGAAACGGTATACCTCGCTCACACCACACGCACCCGTACACCCACGCACTGTGGACAGGAACACGATGAACTCTACAGTACGCAACACCCCGTTGCCAAAGGCCACCGCTCCTCTCGATATATCTCTCCGCGCTGCTCGCTGCGCGCTTGTTTCTGCGCCACTGGGCGCGCTCGTGCGGAACGGTGGGGCAACGCAACTAGGGCATTTGGAGCGGGCGGGAGGGGTGGGGTGGGGGTGGGGGGTACACGAATGGGCGCATCGGGGCCATCATATCGCGCCATATCTTTATCCTTTGTTTGTGCGTGTGGTCGAGCGATATCTTGCCCCAAAATACAGTTGTAGCCGCCCCTCATCAGGCCACAATACTTCCTTCTATCAGTGCTCGGTGACCAACTACCATACGCCCTTCCTTGATACTGCTGTCATCATGATCCGAAGAGCTGAAGGACTCCGCACCCCACGCAAGTCGATGGCGGTGAGAGTTTTCCCCAAACGCTGCACACGATGCACCAAACGTTGCAGACGATGCACATCGCACGATGCTGTTGTTATTTTTCGCACGGGTTCAACAGAGAGCCCAGGACACAGCAATGCCGATGTCATCTAGACAGAAAACCACACACGTCACTGCTGTTTGCTTGTCTTACCTCCGCGCAATGCGTTGGCAGGGCGGGGGATCGGAGGCGCGGGTGCCCTTAACGGTAGAGCAAAAGAAGGAGGTTGACGAAGCCTTTGGCTTGTTCGACTACGCCAAAACCGGCGTCTTGGACTTGCACGAGGTCAAGGTGAGAACGGAACACACACGACATGTGCAGCGCATGTGTGGTGCAGCCTGCCAGAGGGCATACTATCATCACGCAAGAACTGTATGGTGCACCGTCGCACGGTAGAAATGGGCGTCGCTGCGCGCGACATACTCGCCACGGTCGTTCGAGAGCCAAAGGGTTGGGTTGACGACGGTGGCAGCCAGCCACAAAACATGACGCTGCGATGGTGATGAGTTACGTGTCTCTAAGAAAACCGCTGTTTGTTGCCCTTCTCCTACAAGCTCAACCGGTAGACCCAACCAACGATCAGTTTCTTTCGTCTTACACTGTCCTCGAAGGTACTCATTCGGTCGCTCGGGTTTCCTGTCCGTCGTGCCGAGGTGCCTCTAATTGTGCACCGCGCTAACCCCGACTCGGACGGGAAGGTCGATCTCCCGACTTTTCGACTCATCAGTAAGTCTGACTCGTGTGACTGCATTGGCAAGGGAGGCTCACACCTCCTGTGGCCACGGCCGCGAGAATACCGGCCAACTATCGGAAATTATACCGGTCTCACAAAAATTAACTAATTACAGTAGTGCGGCGCACCTGCGTTCGGCAGCGTTCAAAACGTCACGAATCGAATCGAAGAACGAATCGGCAAGCACCCTAATCAGTGAAAGGTCAAATCTCGTACTGCCCGCACCACTTTACATCTCTGACGCTGTACTGTTTGACTTTGGTGAAGGAAGAACGACATGTCATTCGCTCATGACAATTTTGTCCTCAAACTCGTGTTCGCGTCACATGCATGGTATACAGACCACGCCAACAAGTCTTTTTGTGAGCTTGGCCTTGATTCCAGTATCGATTTCCCGACCCGCATCGACTCTTGACCCGAACAGACACACGGCCAACTTATACAAACGCGACTCTTTTGTTCCGTTGTTTGGTGTGGTCAATCTGCACCTTTCTGTTAGTGGAGACGAAGTATGCAAACCTGGACCCCGAGGAAGAAATCAAGAAGGCCTTTCGGCTTTTCGACATCGAGGGTACCGGCAAGGTATCAGAAGGAGTCTGCATTACAATACATGTGTGCCATGTTAGTTTATAGCAGGTACATCAGATTGCGCGGTTGGTGGATGCTTCCAAAGAATAGCTCGATGCTGATGTGTTTATCCGGGCAATAAAATATTTCGGGATATTGTCGGCTACTGTACAAGGAATCGAAGATCAAGACTTCCACCGGTGCATTCCAGATGAAGCATTAACCTGTGTAGATACAGCAGTTCTCGAGTACTTTGCCCAGTCCAACATCTGTCTATCAAGGGGCTGACAACTCAATAGCTCACTCTCGGGGAAATCCCAATCCATCAGCGACAGGACCATACTTCTATTCACGCGTTTGAGAGCACAAGAATATGTTGTCTACGTTCCTTTCCACTGGCGTGGGGAAAGGCGGGACAATCAAGGCCAAGTCATACAGGGGTCCTTTTTTTCGTGCCATTGAACGCTCAATGTCTGTTTAGTACGTTGATGTTGTCGGCGCCACTTGAGGCCGACACGTAGGGGGGAGCGAGCGACGCGTAATCGCTTGGTACCGTATTGCGGCACCACCACGAGAATTTCGGCACATTGCGACAATTGTGGGAGGGTCATCAGAACGGCCTCCCCTGAATCTGTGTCAAATTATTCGCGCTGGAACTTGTTGGTACACGGACAAGAGCTTGGCCCGCCACGATGAAACACATCAACTCCGCCACAAGCCCTTAACATGCCCTGTTTCATGCGTTTTCCGGCCTTTCCGCGATCTCCACCAAACCCAGCATGCAAACGGCTCGCGTACAACGCTCTGAGTGTTCGGCTGCACAATGTGCTCATAAACCTTTCCTTTCGTTAAAGGTCCACGCGAGCTTATACTTGACCAGCCACAAATGCTACAAACGGTCTCGGCGAGACTCACTCTTATTGCACCAACGCTCATGTTCCTTGTGCGTGTGTTTGTGTCTTGTCTCTTGTCTTTGGGACACGAATTTATCGAACTTTGAATGGGTAGATTACCGTCCAGAACCTCCGACGAGTGTCGAAGGAGCTCGGAGAGAACCTCGGGGAACGCGAGCTGCAGGCGATGATTGACGAGTTCGACAAGAACCTAGACGGGAGCGTCTCCCTTGATGAATTCGTGGTAAGCGTTTAGTAGTTGTAATTCGGAAGGAATTTCCGCCGTTCGGTCGCTCCAACGAGTCGCCTAGCATGACGCTTCATCACTACACTGAACCGAAGTAGCTGGTCTAATATGTCCCCCGTTCATGCATGTGCGCCCTCGGAAGCCACTTGTTACCCCCTTCCCACTTGTGCCGTCGGCTTCCGCGTGACCAGTACATCATGAACGAACAGCGGAAGATTGAGAGCTGACTGGATGGGGATTGTGGCCATCTGTCAGGTCTTGCGACCGCGGCTAAAGGCGAGAGCGGTGTCCTTGTCGCCCGAAGGGCGTGCAGTAATGCGTGCGTGACCCGAGAGCCTATCGTGTTTTTCCACCGCGCCCCTTTCGTCAACAAACGAGCGCCTTGGGTCATGCTGTGGGACAAGTGGCCTACACGAATGCATCTTCTCAGCGGAAGACCATTGCGGGGAAAGCGGGGTATATGTTCTTGAAAGGATCGGCGCCGTTGCCTAAGGCGCCGCAATTCTGCGCTCCACACACGTGGAAGAGTCGCTCTTTCCTGTTCCAGACTATTACCAACACATACCAACCCAGGCGCAAGAGACACAAGGTTGTCCCCCCCCATTGTTCAGCAGGGTGTTTGAGGTTGTGGTGTTTGTCTTCACCCGCGGAGGTCGTGTGTAAACAATAGCCCAAGAGTTGTCCGGGCGTTCTTAGCTCTCCCTATATAGTGTTGTTTTTTCCCACCGTTTTGAAGCAACGTTGGTCTAGGTCGTGAAAACGAGTCTTAATGGAAAGCGGTTTTTCTCACGCCCTTTCGTGTGAGTACACTTGGGCGAAGGAGCGATTGCTGTCGACTTTTGCGCTGAGCGAGATTTTGGAACGATTGGTTGTTTGATCTCGGGGTAGTGTAGATACGAACTGCCGGATCGCTGTGATAACCCGTTAAGGTTATGTCGGCGAGGCTGTAAACTCTTGGTAGGGCACAACGACATTTCCTGCATCGAGTCCGTACGGTGACTATGGCGGTGGAAACGAGCTGCTACGTGATTCGTAATTCATCTAAACGAAGAGTGGGGCGTCATTTCTACCCTTGGTGCTGCCCCGCGCCGCATGAAGGCTAACCAAAGAGAATTTTTTGTCATATGTTCTCTCCTGTCGAAACCTGTTCGCGCCAAGGGTTCGTGTTGTTCATGTCGATGCAATCTGAATACACATGGCTGCCACATCCTACAGGAAGCAGTCGAGGAAAGCATGGGTTCCGCACAAGAAGTGTTTCTTTTCGCGAACGTACACCATTTGTTCTCGAAAAAAGTCCTGCCTCCTCTTAGCGCTTAGCGTAAGCTCTGTCCGAGATTTGCTTCGCGGCACACCAGCACGAGCAGCAGCCAGTAAAGATTCAGGAAATGACTGCGTGGCCTGGAACCTCTGATGGGGCGAGCAACGCTGCAGGTCGTCTCGCACGAGGTCCGTGGCATACTCCCTTCAAAGACCCCGAAAAATCGCCTCACGGCGCGCCGAATAGCCCCAACAGTGTCTACTTCTGTTATATCCAAACGTCTACAAATATTCGTGCTGCTGCCACTTGGTCACGCGATACTCTCACTCTCATCAGCCAGGCCAGCACATTGCATCCCATCGCTTTGTAATCTCCACCACCTCGAAAAGTCAAGCGCAGCCGCAGAGAGGGGGGGACCAGAATCTGAGTCAAGCCCATTTTTGCTATCGCAACCACCACAAACATCAAGACAAGTACAAAAAAAGAACGATCCCCCCCCCCCCCCCCC